TTGGTCAGGCTGGTCTCAAGCTCCCGACCTTGGAATCTGCCTGCCCCTGTCTCCCAGAGTGCTGAGATTACAGGCGTGAGCCACCACGTCTGGCCAGATTCTCTATTTTTGTTTTGTTTTGTGAGACAGGGTGTCTGTTGCCCAGGCTGGAATGCAGTGGCATGATCACCGCTCACTGCAGCCTCAGCCTTTTGGGCTCAAGCTGTTCTCCCACCTCAGCTTCCTGAGTAGCTGGGACCACAGGCGTGTGTTAAGCCCTGCTAATTTTTAATTTTTTTTTTTAATAGAGACAAATTCTTGCTTTGTTGCCCAGACTGATCTGGAACTCCTGAGCTCAGGCGATCTGATGGTCTTGCCCTCCCAAAGTGCTGGGATTACAGGCATGAGCCACTGCGCCTGGCCTCTGTCAAATTCTTCATCTTCTATGGGCCTGAGTCCAGTCTGACATTCTTCTGATGTCTCCAAGGTCCCCTGGTGTAAAGTTTATTTTTCTGGCTCATTCTTGGAGCTTTATAAGTCACCTGGTGTGGGATGCCTTTGGAGGGTGGGCTTGGTGTGTTTCATTAATCTACTCTTTAAAAAAATTTTTTTTAATGTATTTTAGGTTTTGGGGTACATGTGAACATGCAACATTGTTGCATAGGTACACACATGGCAGTGTGATTTGCTGCCTTCCTCCCCATCACCTATATCTGGCATTTCTCCCCATGCTATCTCTCCTCAACTCCCTAATCTACTCTCTCTTTTGGCAATTAGAGGATTTGGATCGCCATGTGTAGCTGCCACATCCCCTGGGGCTTTATCTCATCCATGCAAACTACCATCTGCTCAATTTCTGCCTACCAGCCCCTGCACCCCTTTGACTGGGGACTTGCTGGTTGCAAGAGCTCATCTTGCAGGCTGGAAGCACCACGGAATTAATTCCCCCAGTCAACCAATGGCACCCGGGGAGTTATGGAGGCTCCACACAAGCCCTTCCACCCTCACATTGTCCTTTCTCTCATGCATCTCTTCTATTGGGCTGTAATAAACTGGTAGACAGTGTAACCACAGAACTAGCCCAGTCTGGTTCAGCTTTGTGTAACAAAATGGCCGTTATTTTTCAGTTGCCACAGATCCCCAGGTTGCAAGTTATGTACCTTGATCATGCCCCAGATGAACCAAGCCAGCAGGCACGGGCAGAACCTAAGGGTTTGATCCAACAAACGGGGACTGAATTAAGAAGTGGACATCACATGGCATGATCTATGATCCAATCAGATTGTACCCTGACATCATCCCATGGCATGATCCAATCAGATCAAGCCTCCCACATCACCTCATTACATGATCCAGTTAGGTTACACCTCACTACCCTCTGTATATAAAACCTGTACCTGCCCCAGCTCAGAGAGACAGATTTGAGCCAGACTCCTCTCTCCTCGCTTGGCTGACTGGAAGTAAACTTTTATCTCTACAAAATCTGGTTTTCCATTTGCACATTGGTAAACAGACCCAAATCAGTTTGGTAAGAGCATAAGCAAAATGTTTTCCTGAGTTCTGTGAGTCATTCCAGCAAACTACTGGATCCGAAAGGAGTTGTGAGAACCCCCAATTTTTGTTGGGCAAGTGGAAGTATGAGTGGCCTGGGCACTCCCTTTGTACCTCAGATCTGAAAAAGGATGACTCCTGCGGAACTGGGCTTTCTAACTTGTGGAATGTGGCGCTAATTCCAGGTAGATAGTGTTAGAGAACATTTTGGTGTAAAAAAAGACTCTACAAATGCTACCTCCCTTCTACGAGTGTTGACTGCAAAGACGTTCCTTCATAAACAGCTTGAAGGCTGAATTCCATCTCATTTAGAGTCAACCTTCAACAGACAAGGGACTGGAAGGCTTGTCTGTACCGTGTCCCGGAGGGCTGAGGCTCCCAGAGGATCTGAGTCCAGTTGCCCACGTGGGCCATAAGCTCACTGATGCCTCTGAATTGGCTTCCTTCCCTACTTGACTCTCTTCACTTTCCCCCTCCTCTGCTGGTGCTTCTTGAAATCTCCTCCCAGATAAAAAACTTGTATCCAAATCCTTGTCTCAAGCTCTGCATCTGGAGAAACGCAAGCCAGCTTATAATATTTTGATAACTGGTAGGCATGGCTCGTGTGTGTGTAAGTGTGTGTGTGTGTGTGTGTGTGTGAGACGGTCTCACTGTCACCCAGGCTGGACTGCAGTAGTATGATCATGGCTCACTGAAGCCTCGATCTCCCAAGCTCAAGCAATCCTCCCACCTCAGCCTCCTATGTAACTGGGACTAGAGGCATGCACCACCACACGTGGCAATTTTTTAAATTTTTTGTAGAGACATGGTCTGGTCTGGAACTCCTGGGCTCAAGAGATCCTCCTCCCTCAGCCTGCTAAGTAGCTGGGATTACAGACATGCACCACCACGCTGGGCCAAGTTTTGTATTTTTAGTAGAGACAGGGTTTCGCCATGTTGGTCAGGCTGGTCTTGAACTCCCGACCTCAGGTGATCCACCTGCCTTGGCCTCCCAAAGTGCTGGGATTACAGGCATGAGCCACCACACCCAGCCAAGAATCAGTTTTCTTCCCCTTGGGAGCAGTATCAACCCCATTGACGATGCATGGAAGAGAATGTGGAAAGGCAAAAACGGTGACTCTACAGTGGAGAAACCTGGTAGACACCTCCTTCACCAAAGTTAGCATGGCCAGTGATCAGGCACGTTCATGTGGCTATCATATACCGCCCCCAATAGGAGGTGATTAGAAGGGCACCTCACCTTTGTTATACTCTTAACTGCAAACAGACAACCTCACTCTAATCATCAGCAAACACTAGAAAAGGCCAGGTGTGATGGCTCATGCCTGTAATCTCAGCACTTTGGGAGGCCCAGGTGGGTGGATCACCTGAGGTCAGGAGTCCGAGACCAGCCTGATCAACATGGTGAAACCCCATCTCTATTAAAAACACAACAAAGTAGCCAGGC